GTTTGTATCTATTCACTTAATGTTGTGTCAAATAATAGAATTTCGATGAATTCTAACTGTTACAACCAGAACAATATTATTATCTCATGTATCTGTTGCCGCATCATTATTTAATATTTTTAGGGCATAATAGCATTACTCATTTTTTATTTTGATTAAAATATAAATAAATAATTAAAATATTTATTATGGTGAAAATATAANCATTTTTTATTTTGATTAAAATATAAATAAATAATTAAAATATTTATTATGATAAAAATAGACAATGATTATTAAAATATTTCTATAGTCAAAATATAAGTATAGTTAAAATATTTATTATAATTAAAATGTTCGTAACTAAAAATATTTTGAGTTGTTACTTAATCACAATTCTAAGAGATTTAACTATTTAAGTCATTATTATCGTATTTTTATCTCTCGGAGAACACTATAATTGTGGTACCGAAATATTTTTTTCAGTGCTGTACCTCCAAGTTTTATGAGTTTTGATATATATTTATGAGTTTATTTACAACCAAAGTAATGCAATAATTTTAAAGATTAAAATTATAATTTTTTTAGTCAAAATTATTATTTTTGTTGTAATTCATCACCACTCTGAAAAATATAATTGATTGATCATAATATTTCTAGAATCGATCACGAGTTACTACAAAAATAGTAAATGACTTACATAAATTATAAGAGTAATATTATTTGAATTTAAAATTTTGACTTAATTTATTGACCTAAGTGGCTTTATTAGAAATATTAAATTAATATATTAATATTTAATGAGACCCAAAATCAATTTAAAAACTTTAGTAATTTTTTGTAGTGCATCTTTTCATTTGGTTTGTTTCATTATATAAATATCTTCTTTCTATTAATGAGTCTACTACATCATCAATGCTGACGTGATACTGGCAACGTACTACCTTCTTCTCCATTAAATTCCAACACATCGTACACTGCCTTCGCCATTGATGTGCATCCTGTAAATTTTACACTTTTACTCCCCTTTTCTTAATCACTTTTTATTTTCGTATTTCGTGTTTTGACGTGGAAGGATTAGATTAAGGATATAGGCAGGTGGTTAAAGAATCGCACATGAGATGAAAAATTAATTAGGGACGACTTTGACATTATTAAATCCTAATCCTAATTACCAATATCTCAATGGAGAGGGTATTATTGTAAAATGCTCAGAGAACAAAGGTATTATTATGGTATTTTCATTCCACATTCGATAATCTATCTAAATTTAAAAGCCATGTCCATTGGCTTAGGCTTGAACCATGCCATGGATCAATGCTGTACACTGATTAAATTTATCTATCTATATTATCATAGCCAACAGGTTAGTTGGGAGGGGGCATTTAGAGGCTTTCCCTCCCTATTTTCTTTTCCTAGAATTGTGGTTTTATTAAACAAAAAAAAAAAATAGATTTTTCCCAACAAAAACCTTTTATCCCTCATCCAATTTCTGACACTATCTATAACNTGGATCAATGCTGTACACTGACTAAATTTATCTATCTATATTATCATAGCCAACAGGTTAGTTGGGAGGGGGCATTTAGAGGCTTTCCCTCCCTATTTTCTTTTCCTAGAATTGTGGTTTTATTAAACAAAAAAAAAAATAGATTTTCCCAACAAAAAACCTTTTATCCCTCATCCAATTTCTGACACTATCTATAACTTACACTTACATTTTAACCACAATAAAAAGTACATGACATGGGATTGTCTTAGTCTATGTCCAAAATAAAAAACACGCCTTCAAATGGATAAATTATACTTTAACTCCTTTAACTATGTCCCTTAAATTATTGAATTGTTTACGTTTCTTCCTCAATGACTTGAATTGTTTTACATTTCCTCAAACACAAACGTCTGTTATATTTTTTTAGTAAAAATTGACAATGTGTTGTGACAAAGTAAAAAAAANGGATTGTCTTAGTCTATGTCCAAAATAAAAAACACGCCTTCAAATGGATAAATTATATTTTAACTCCTTTAACTATGTCCCTTAAATTATTGAATTGTTTACATTTCTTCCTCAATTACTTGAATTGTTTTACATTTCCTCCAACACAAACGTCTGTTATCTTTTTTTAGTAAAAATTGACAATGTGTTGTGACAAAGTAAAAAAAAAAAGTCACATAATTCGGATGGCAAAATAAAATAACTTCTCATCAAATTTATAATAGACATTAATAATTAAGGCAATCCAAAATAAATCACATAATTAAAGGTACAATGTGAAAAACATATTAGTTGAGGGGACAACGTGAAAAAAAGTCATAGTTAAGAGAGAGACTAACGTCCTGTGTTTGGCCTTCTTGGCCTATCATTTCCCATCTTGTGTATTTACTAAATGTTCATCTAACAAAATTGACTTAAGTTTTCCACCCTTTTAAAAAAAAAAAAAAGATGTCTAATTATTTTCAGTGAGGTATGAGTTATACTGCAAAAGATATGATTGATCTCAAAATATTTATATTTGATCTTTTGAAATATTCGTAGATACTTGTTTGTCATTCTATATAGATTGCAAGGGACAACTAGATGTCTCAACTGTCTATTTGCATCGGCGGAAAACTTGATTTTTACCATTTACACCCTATAAATCTTATATGTTCCGAATAAATGACCAACCACGTAGAGAAAATAGTAAAGCCTATGAACCAACAATGCTTGCAATTGATCCATATCACCACTACAAAGTTAAGCTACAAATGATGGAAGAGCGCAAACTACTGTAACTGCAAGAGTTGCTTAAACGGAGAAATGAGTCCAGTGTGGATAGATATGTCATAGCCATGCAAGAATTGGAAGAAGAAGCCCGGAAATTTTATGCTAAATCCGTTAAACTAAAGAAGGATAAATTTGTGGAAATGATGCTACTTGACGGATGTTCTATCATGGAGTTATTTCGGAAGTACACATACAAATACCTGATAGAGATAGGCGACCCTATTTTTAAAATAAGTCAGATATGCGCAGTATATAGTGTGAATTACTGCTATTTGAGAATCAAATTCCATTCTTTGTCCTCTCCAAGTTATTTGACATAAGAAAAGATCCAAACCAAGGAGACCCAGAAGACAATATTTTTGTCTTAGCTCTCAATTTTTTACTTCAGGCAGTTCCAGATAGCTCGTATTTCAAACATGCTGAAATTCCATAGAACAATGTCAATCATCTTCTGGGTCTTGTACATGATAATTGGTGTTCTTCTTTTGCTAAAATGGTAGATGCAAACCTACAAACGGAATGGAATTTTATAAAATGTACCATGGGGCTCAGAGAAGCTGGAATTAAATTTGAGAAGGCTACAGAAAGTTTCTTGTTGCTGGATATAAAATTCAAAAATGGAATAATGAAAATCCCTCCTCTGAATATTGATGATAATACAAAGTTCTTGTTCAGAAACCTGATGGCATTCGAGGAATATAATGGACGGATTGAACCAAATTATTTGATTGATTAAGCCACAGTCATCGATTGCCTCATCAATTTCCTGAAGGATGTCGAAAACTTCGCCACTATGGAATTATTGACAATCGGCTAGGTGATGATAAAGTGGTTTCTACATTGTTTAACAAATTGGGCAATCAAATCAGAATAAATTGTGTGACGTTTTGTTACTCATACTGCAGACGTCGTCATCATACATGGATGGCCAAATTAAAGCCTAACTATTTCAATAGCCCGTGGTCTACCATTTCGGTGGTTGGGGCTGGTGTGTTGTTAATACTTACTGCGATACAAACTGTATATTCTATCTTATAAGTCTAGTTTTAAGTCTAATTTGATGTACTTACCCTCCCCCACAGTCAATAAATATTATGTTTCAAATAAGTTGTATTCATTGTGTTCAGACAACATGTTATTTTGGAAATGTTAAAGTAAAATTTCACTGCAGTTTGGAGCAAACTGTAAGGTTGGTTTACATGGAGTTGTAAACTAGGAACTTATATTTGGAATTCAAATGAGTATGCTATTAAACAACCAAATGGAATTAGTAATCTGCGCAGCCTGTGGTATGAGCAAAATCACATTTTTTTTGTTTGCCACTGTCCTCCTTCTAGAAGAATGATAAATTATACTTTAACCTCTTTACCTATGGATTCGATTTTCATTTTACCCCTTAAATTATTGAATTTTTTGCATTATTCTCTTAACTATTTGAATTATTTCACATTTCTCCAAATACAAACGTTGCTATTTTTTTTTGTGCAAAAATTGCCAACTTCTTGTAGCAAAGTAAAAAGGGTAAAAACCATAGTTGAGATAGAAGGCATAGTTGAGGGCGGTAAAGTATTATTTTTCTCATTTGAAAAGAAAAAACAATTCATAACTGACAAGGTGTTGAAAAACAATGTGCATCTGCACATGGCCGAGGACCCACCCTCATCTAGGGACACTTGCCTGATTAGCTCCTCCCAACTTCCCTCTTGTCGGATCAATAATGTATAACTACCTATGAAAGACATCCTTCAGTTGAATGAAAAGATAAACGAGAAACAGAAAAAAAAAAGAGAGATATCATTCTCTAAATTTCTCTTCCATTTAGTTTTGTGTTATTCATTTCCAGTTAATCCGTTAGTTTTATAACACGTTATCAGCACGAAAGTTAGCCAATTGAGGCGCAGCCAAATATTATTCTTCTTGTTTACACTTTTATAAAGAGAAACTCAATGAGTACCATACTTGAATTATTTGAATTCTCGGAAATGCATCTAACTTTTTATAAATAGATGGTTACTCCTTACTTTGTCATAAATATTTTTTCTTCCAATTAAATCAATTAGCTCAGAAGACAAAGCCAACGAACAAAACAAAGAAGTTGAAACTTAGTAAGTCATAGCATTGAATGAATATTTGTTATTTATTAATTTACAAGCTTGATTGCAGGTTTCAGGAATAACTTACTATTAAGACTAAGCTTGGCCAACTAATTGTACATTTTATTTCTTCTTAATTTGGAGCTCTTATGATTGTTTCTATGGGGTAAATATGTCACAAGAAGCTGATCCTATCACCATGAGTATAGATGGAGAATTACTTGCTTATCTCCTACACTCTCTAAGCAGTGCATTTTTAGGGTGTATGATGAACTACACATTGAAAATGAGAAATCTTATGAACTGCAAATACTTGCAATTAGCCCTTATCACCATGGTAAAGATAAGTTACAAAAGATGAAAAACCATAAAATACGGTATTTGCAAATGCTACTTGCATGAAAAAATGAGATGAGGCCAACAGATACATCATGACCTTGAGTGAGATGGAAGAGAAAGCAAGAAAATGTTCCACAGAATCCAGTAGTCTTGATAAAGGTAATTTTGTTAAAATGATGCTTCTTGACGGGTGTTTTCGTAAGTATGAGAATAAAGAGCTCCATGACACAGATGACCTTATTTTTAATCTTACTTGAATTAGGAATAACATATGGCATGATTAACTATTATTTGAAAATTAACTTCCATTTTGGTATCCTTATCCTATTATTCAACATGACAAGGGCGCCAAACAAACAAGATGACCTATGTAATTTGGCATTGTATTTCATGGATAATATATTGCTCGAAGCATCCATTTTAGAAATAGTATCAAACAACAGCACAGTCAATGATATCGAGCATTTACTCCACTTGGTTCACCACAGTATGTGTATTTCATCTGCTGGAGTTGCATCCGGTAGTGACACAAATGGAAAAGAGAATGAATGGAAGTTCATAAATTCTATCACAAAGCTCCAGGAGTTTGGAGTTGAATTGAAGGCGACTGGAGAAAGTCGGAGTTTGTTTGATGGAAATTCCCGAACCGAAAATTACTGACGACACTGAATCTACACTAAAGAATCGAATTGCATACGAGCAGTTTCCTCCAGATACTTGTCAAAGATATGTCTCTCATTATACTTGTTTCATGAATTGCCTTGTAAACTTGCTGCCAATTTTCTTCGGTGTCACAGAATTATCAATTACTTTTTAGGTGACGATGTTGCGGTTTGCACCATTTTAAACAAACTTGGCAATGGTGGTGTCATAGTCTCTTACAACTTTTGTGACACCCAAATTTTCGACAATGTGAATAAGCAATGTAGGCAGCCTTACAGCAGATGGATGACAAACTTAAGGCACAATTATTTCAACAGTCCATGTACACTCATTTCATTTGGTGCTGTTGTGGCCCTACTTTTAGTCACAATGGCGCAGACTATATTTACCATTCTAAATCCCTAGTGTTTCATGTTTCCCTTTTTTTTTTTCGCGGGAAAATTGTAATGCTTGAATATGTTTTATTTTTATCGATCAAAATGATCTTTTGGTTCTATGTGAAATAGATCAAATTTCACAACTTTTTGTAATCTTAGCTCTTCTTTCCATGCAAATGTCCCATCACTTTCACACATGGAACTTAGGAAGTAGGATACCAATACACGATATGAATACGATACGATACGGATAAGGTAATATGATAAAACTTAAAAAAAAATATAATACGGCTATGGTCAGGATATGTGTATAATAAAATAAATTTTATATTTTACTATTACTTAACGACTTAAAATTTATAATTTTAAATAATTTTTTAACAGTAGTAACCAAACTTAGGAATTTTTACCTTGAAAAAGATGCAATATCGTCTCATTATGATATATTTATAAAATGAGTGTGACCAATTGAAGGAATTAAAACCACATTTAATTAGTTAGTTTGTTTACAAGTATTTGTTTTTAAGATTATTAGTTGATGCACGCGTGCATTGCATGCTGATAATTTTAAGTTACAATTTTGGTTTTTAGTTTTCTCCAAATCGAGCTATATTGATCACCAATGAAATCCGTCATTAAAGTCTTACCCCGTTGATCACAAATATGTCAATAATTATGTCTATTGATTTTTCTTATGTAAATTGTAAAAAAAACAATATTCTAATAAATAGATCTGAATACACAAAGCCCAAACAAGGAAAAATACACAAAGCCAAATTCAATGGTGTTTAAGATAACAAGATGCTCTTTCAAATTGAGTGATTCCTAAGATATATGTTGAAAATTTTCATAAAAAGAATAACAAATTTTTGATTCTGAATTCACATGTCAATTATAACTTGGTCAATTCAGGTACAAAATTAAATGAATAAAACTATTCAACTTATAACATGTTAGTAGTGTTTTTGTTCCGTCCATGAAAATATATTGCTAGGAGTTTTAATCTTTGCTTTTGCTTTTTTCAAGGAACATAACTATTTCAAGTATTTAAATAGACCCGAGAATTACCTTGCAATGCCATAGAGAACAAACGATTTGAAAAACTTGTGTTTTCATTTTAGTCACCTGATGAGAAGCCTTAAAACACAATTAATTAAATATCACCCACAATATACAAATGATGATTTCAATTTTTTAGCTGAAATCTAGAAACACAAAGTGCTCATATTCATGAAGAACATAAACTATGGTGGTTAGCCAATTAAAAGATATAATATGACACTAAGAGAAAGTTTGTGATAATATGCTTTACGAAAATCGGTTTATAAGTGTGGCAAGCCAATCAACTTCTCACCATTCCTTGTCTGGGGGTTATGGAACTCCAAGGATTCTAAGAGTTATGTCTCTTTAACTGACAGTAACTCGCAAGAGAGATATATGGCCCAGTGAAAAATCACAACAAAAGGATATTATTTAATTGTTAGCATGTTTTAAGAACACTATTGTCAATCAAAAGTTTTGCACAAGTATTGAGATAAATAGTTAGATAGATAATATAATATTGAAGGGAGGTTAAATGATGCAATAGGACATGATCGGCAGTAAAAAATTAAATAGGGTTAAAATTAATTAGGGTTATAAGTAGTATAGATATATATGTTTGTGAATGTAATTAATTTTAGAATATCATGAAATATGATAGATTTATGTATTTAATTTAAGAAGTTAAATGGTATGAGGGATATAATAAAATTTATTATATTATTTGAGGGTAAAAGAGGAAATCAAAAATTTTTCATTGTTAGCCACTTTTATAAGTAGCATAGATAGTGTCACTAACTCATTTTTGTATACTCTCTTGACATGTAATAGTAAATAATACTTAAAAAATACACGTATCTTCAACATCATATAAAATTTTGTTGATGTTTTGTATTATATGTGAACTCGCAAGAGAGGGTATGGATTAAATACCCTGGGGACGTGTTTTAGGGTTTCTTGACATGTTTTTCAATCCTAGGGGGTCGGCCTATGAGAGTCTTGGAGATAAGAAGAAGACAAAAAATAGTAGATCAGGGTAAATCTTTGGGGATCAATGCGTAGAAAGTCTCACAAAACACAATAAGAGCAATGTTTTGTGGAATTAAGGTATTTGTTTCCCTTTCCTATTTAATAAGGCTAGGGCTTATTTATAAGTAATTTTTGATTTAACTACATATACATACTATAGATCTATTACTTTTTCAAACATGGTTAGGTTTCATTGGAAAATACATGATTTACATCTGATTGTACGTTTTTGACTTGTAAACCCTAGATCTTGAATAATTCTTACTTGATAATGTTTTCTTATGATCTCATGCATGTTTTTACTGAAGTACTCCCCATTTTAGAAATTATGGCATTGTTGTTCATGTCATATGTGAATTTTATTGAAAGATATGAATTACATCTCTTGTATAGTGGGATTGATGAACTTGGGTTGCATTCAAACTTATATTGCAAAGTGTTTAAACATATTTCTTACATTAAGGGGTTCGAATGTTTCCTATCACTCGTAGTTGGGTATTGGTTCCTTGTCGTGTTTTAAACCACTATTCGTTTACGGGGTTTGAAACTGAGCATTAGCATACTATTTCTGAAAATATTTTGTTAAATATTGATGTGTCAGTATACACACTTCCTAAATTTTGGGGCCTTGTAGGGTTTGCTTTGGAGGTGGAGATTTGTGGATCATATATATTCGATGTGTAAATTCTTACTAATCAACCTACGTTTATGACATATCTTTGTTATAATCATTTGCATTGAGTTTGATTCTACTCTTTTATGGAAATTTTTGCTTATACATTGGAACTTGAGATCATAATATTATCACCTTTTTTACTTCAAAAGTTATATATGTTATTTTGTAAATTGAGACATATCTATTTCATTTATTTCTAAACCTTGTTTAGGTTTGAAAAAGTTTCTCCACTGGGCTAGTTTTGCTCACTCCTTCTTTTAACATTTTTCAGATCTTGGAATTGAGGTGGACAATGAACTAGGTGAGAATGTTGACTGGGTTTATGAGACAGATGGAGATGTCGATCTAGATGTGGAGACTTGATGAATTTCTTATTTAGTTTATCTTGTTCTTTTGAGGATTGAATACTTTCATGAATAATTATTATGTGGTTAAGATGAATATACTTATTTTGTTTTAAGGAGTTTTAGATGTAACCCTTTAATGGTTCATGTATGTTTTTGCTGTTTTTGTTAGATTAAGTTGAATATTTGTAGTTGATTTATTAAATGGTTAATTTAAATATGCTCTCATGATTTTAAAGGTTATTAGTTAGATCATGTATATTTATGGACTTGAGGCATGACACATATGGATGGAAAATTGTAGGCATAATTATTTCAAAAGCCCTGGTATATCATTTCACTTATTGTTGTTATTTTGTTGCTTCTATTTACTATGATACAAACTGTATATTATATTATAAAAGTCTAATTCCAAGGCAAATTTCATTTACTATGTTCTCATTAATTGTACTCATTTCGGAGTTTTTGTAACTATGATTCCAATTTGATTTACGTAGCTAGTCACCTCAGAGTTATTAATTCAGTATTAAATGCAATTTGCCACCAACCAATTCAAACTTGACTATCATTTTGTCCATGATTAAGTGGCTCGTAGATGACTGGTTAATTATGCATTTTCATTTTTGGATATTTGTCTCATGCATCAAATTTGTTATGTCTTCACCAACTCAGGCAAGTTGGGTGGTTAAACTCTCAATCCTTGTTTAATCCGAACCCGACTTCCACTCAAATCACTAATCTCAAATATTGGTAATGTTAATTTTTTTGAACTCATGTTACATAATTCCATTGGAACTCAAACTGAAACTCATGTTAACTATTAGGGTTGTCACTCTAGTCAAATTCAGGATTGAACTCAGGGTTACACGTAAATTTGATTCTCGAATTATATTACTTGGACGAAAATTTGGCCTCAATTTGGGTTTAACATGAATTCACTAATATAGAAACCACAAAATAAAATTAATTCCTTAAATTGGGTGTTTCGCCTCCTCGCCACCCCAGTTTGAGGGGGTGAATTAGAGGTAGGAATTCCACTGATAAAATGGTATAGATGGTAGTGAACCTTTTTATCATTTTAGAAATAATAATAATATTTATAACAAAAACGAAGAAAGATCCATCCCAAATCGATTAGAAAGATCCATCCCAAATGGGTCATAACAATGAAGGTCCCGATCTTTCTCTTCTCAAAGATGTGATCGGATTTTTTATCCTAATTTATCTTTTATTAGTGTTTATTGTAATTAAAATATAAAAAAGTATTTAAAATATTTTTTATGGCTAAAATGTAAGTGGATAGTAAAAAATTTACAATAGGTTGAACAATGTCAATTTGATCGTTGTATTATTAAAATTGTATTATATATTACCTTTATTTATAAATAAATTTTTTTTTTGAGTAAAGTAATGCATTTAGGCACGGATTAAATTAATTACATTGTAAACAGATTAAATTAAAGTTACATTGTAAACATATTAAATTAAGAAAAACTAGTAACAAAGAAATGCGATTAAACTATAAAAACT